AATAGATTTTAAAATGTAATTTATTCCTGTGATCATACATAGCTGAATTGTCAGCATCATTCCTCCAGTCTTCAGTGTCACATGATCCTTCAGTAATCATTATAATATGCTGATTTGCTGATTATCCATATTTAAAACCGTTGAGTAATTTTTTTTTTCAGGATTCTTTGATGAATAGAAAGATCCAAAGATCAGCATTTATCTGAAATAAAAAGCTTTTGTAACATTATACACTATTCCATTCAGTATCATTTTTATTAATTTTTTGGGAAAGAAATTAATACTTTTATTTAGCAAGGATGCTTAAAATTGATCAAAAGTGATGATAAAGGCATTTATAATGTTACAAAAGATTTCTATTTCAGTTAAATTGTGTTCATATCGATATCGGAATTATATCGTATCGACCGAAATGAAGAAATATATCGTGATATCAATTTTGGCCATATCGTCCAGCCCTAGTTAAGTGTTTAGATGAAGAGCACAATGGCAAAATAGATCATGTCTCTGATGAGCAATGAGCATCCTTAATATTTACATTCATTTCTGATGCTAAATATTAGAGAAACTCCTCCATCAGTTCACAGCTGATGAATCCACTTAGATGTGTGAAGAAATATCTTCAGCAAAAGAAAATACAGCTGACTAAATTAACTCTTATTAGAATATTTTATAATAACATTGATTTCTGAAACTAGACAGAAACATGTATTTTTCATTATTGATACGTTCTATTGAATGAATATTATATTATACTGTATTTGCAGGAAACACATCTAAACCTGTGTCGGGAAAAAATGGAGGATACGTCACACTAACATGTGAACATGTGGCCAATAATATTGTTCACATTGAGTTATTCAGTGAGTCAGGAGACATAGATGTGTGTCAGACTGAAGAATGTAGTGTTCGAGTGTTTAAAGAAGGAAACTGTGACGTCGTCATCAAGAATCTGATTTTCAGTGATGCTGGGAAATATATTTTGCATGTCTATTACACTAATGATCAGACAGAGCTGAAGTGACTAATCAGGACGTACCATCTTCATATTCATGGTAAAGACAAAACTGATCAAACCATCAGCATCTGCTTTTTTAAATGATTACATTTAGTTCCCCGATACTAAATATGTGTTCATGGCTTTGATTGATCGACAGCATTATAATAATAATTAATGTCTCTCTGTTTCTCCTCAGATGAGATTACTGTGAAAACAGGCGAGGAGCTGGAGTTGGATGTTCTGTTTTCTAATGCTGATAAAGTGGAGAAAAGCTCTAGTGGAGAGTGGAGGGAGGTTTGGAGCAGAACTGATGGGGTTCAGAGCGATCGACTGAATGTTAATGATGAAAACCTGATCATTAAATCGTTTACAGCCAGTGATGCAGGAACATACAGATTTCTGGACTCTGACGGAGAAATCTTGATCACAGTGACAATCACAGGTGAGCGAAACTCAGATTTGTGGAAATATTATTAATAAAGCATGTGGACAGCTGAGGTTTATTCATCATGATCTGAACATCACATTGATGCTGAACTGTGAGACTGACCTCTCAATATCTTCTAGAATCAGGTCATGTCTCTGTCTCAGAATCAACGGAAAAACTGGAGAATGATGAAGACAAAACTGAAGACACTGAACAACAGAGTAAGTAAAACAGAGGCATTGAGAGCTTTACAAAATCTTCAAGCAGTGAGTAATAATGAAAAAACATTTTTAAAAATTGTGCTCTCTTCCCATCTTCCTCTTTTTCATCTGCAGCGAAATGGATTGCGCCAGTTGTAGTGTGTTTGGTGATTCTGGCTGTGATTGTGATTTATTTCATCATACGGCGCCGTCAGCACAGAGGTCACACACAGGTTCCAGCAGAGGAGAATACAGAGCACAGACAGGAACTGGAGGAACTATAATGATCTTCACTGAACGTGACTCAACTGCACAGGAGCCCTGAACACCTGCGACGCCACTGGTTACTTGTTATTTGCCTTCAACACCAACACAATTCTGTCAACATATAACGGCAGCTGGGGGGTGATATGTATCGTTAAAAATATTATAGTAATTGTTGTTTTAATGATGTGTGAGCTGACATTATTTTGTGAAAAATAAACCTTGAACGTCCATACACATACTGAAAAGCAAAAATTGGCAAGTACACTACCAGTCAAAAATCTTTGAACAGTAAGATTTTTTATGTTTTTAAAGTCTCTTCTGCTCACCAAGCCAGCATTTATTTGATCCAAAATACTGCAAAAGCAGTAATATTGTGATATTTTACTACTTAAAATTACTGCGTTCTATTTGAATATATGATAAAATGTCATTTTTATTTCTGTGATCAAAGCTGTATTTTCAGCATCATCACTCCAGTCTTCAGTGTCACATAATCCTTCAAAATCATTCTAATATTGTGATAAACATTTTTTAATATTATTATCAATATTTAAAACAGTTGAGTAAATTTTTTTCAGGATTCTTTGATGAATAGAAGGATCCAAAAATCAGCATTTATCTGAAATAAAAAGCTTTTGTAACATTATACAGTCTATCATTCAAAAGCTTGGAGTCAGTATAATTTTTTTCTTTGGGAAATTAATGATAGAAATGACTACTTTTATTTAGCAAGGATGCTTTAAATTGATCAAAAGTGATGATAAAGACATTTAGAATGTTACAAAAGATTTATATTTCAGATAAACGCTGTTCTTCTGAACTTTCTATTCATCAAAGAAACCTGAAAAAATTCTACTCCGTTGTTTTCAACATCATAAAAACAATAATAGTTTTCTGAGCAGCAAATCAGAATATTAGAATGATTTCTGAAGGATCATGTGACTGGAGTAATGATCCTAAAATTCAGCTTTGATCACAGGAATAAATTACATTTTAAAATATATTCAAATACCAAACAGTTACTTCCACCAAACAGTCAAAAAATAACTCCCTTGCCATTGGTCAGTTTTTCGCGGGCAAGTTCACTACTGTACATTGATTTACAGTAGTGAGGAAATACAGTAGTGACCGTATATTTTCCCATAATCCTTTGCGGTTTATATGGAAATGAAGAATAAGAACAACAACAAAAATATAAAGTGCACAAATTTGAAAATAAATACAAATGAAAAACCTAAAGAAAATAAATGCACTAAATAATAGTTGGGCAGTTACATGTTAATTTATTTATGCATTTATTCATTTATAACACCATAAATGTATATTTTAGAAATTTCTATTGTTTTTAAAAGTTTCTTGTTTTGTGTTCTCAAGTTTAAAAGGGTTTAAAGTACACTGTGCGATCAGTGTGACAAATTGTAAACATGTGCTTTTTTTTAATAGATGATAACAGTGTATTCAGCTATTATTAATTACATTCATAATAGCATCAAAGGAACCAACAGGGAAAAAATGACGAGATTTACAAAGAAAAGGATTCAAAAATTTTTGAAATCCTTTTTGGGGGAAACAATACAATTTCCAAAAGAAAAGGATTCAAAAATTAGCTTTTTTATTTCTTACATCTTTTAAGGCCTCAATGTAACGCTTCAGATTTTAAATAGGCCTAATGTAATGTTAGGTTTATTATTAGTCCATTTTTGTTTGTGTATATGGTATTTCACCTTCATAATTATTACATTAATCACCAAATTTTGCTCCAAAATCTTATTTTTATACAACAAAAATATCTCTTTACCAGAGAGTCGAATCTGATCAAACCTGGCAACCCTCTCTGAGCCGCTTGTAAAAGTGAATTTGGCACTTTGCCATGTCCGCTGCTGCATCACAGTTACAGAATGGCTTCTATTCACTGACATACACTAGAGAACATGTTTATAGATCAGAGGTGGTTCTGTTGTGTTTTGTCTCGTCGGGTGAAGCCACGGTGTCAACATTCATCTTTCTCATTTAAATAATTTGTGAATAATACATTTTTATACATTACTAAAGTGTAATCCTCAGATTGAGAATGGTCCAGATTCAGCCAAACCCAAAGTCTCAAAACACAAGCAACAGCTTTTAGAAGTCCGTGGTACAACAACTTAACAATGATATTAATAATCCCACTATATTATTATAATCATAATCATCATCGTATCCACAGTAATGGTCATGCAGCAGAGACCTAGACACTCCTTCACTAGAACCAAAAATACTGCTATAACAACAAAACACACAAAAGTTGGCTCTGTATTTAAAAACAAAAATGAAAACTTACATGATAAATGTTCAGCATGCATCTTAGGTGCAGGCATTCAAAAAAAATCTAATTCACAACTATACCACAGATGAGGCTGGTGTAGAAACCTAAGTATAGCGCTGCTTCCAATATATTGTCCCCCACTTTTAGTTCAACGCTGGGAGCTTCACTGAAATGCTGTGGTTATAAAGCAGCACAGATCACCACACTCTATAAATGTCACCGTCACACAACTTTGCATGAACAGAAACAAGACTTTTCCTCCACTGAGGATTGTGCATCAAGTAGTAATGTAGCAAGACAGTGATATTTAAAGTAGTGATGGCGAAGTGAAGCGTTCTGAACCAGTGAAGATTTTATCACAATTGTATCGGTAAAAGGTTCATTACTCAAAGCTTTTTTTTTTTTATGGTTTATGCTGTGGGCATCTAGTCATAAAAATAAATAACACCTTCCAAAGTGTTATGTTCCATACAGCCAGTGGTTTCACATCTGGTTCTACAACTGAAACACTCATTTCAAAACCCCGGACTTCACTACATATTAAACAAGTGATAAAAATCTACAATAGAAAGAATTTCAAAAATACCTTTTTGTAAAATAAAGTGCTACATTAAGCTGTTCCTGCTCATCAATGTAGTGCCATAAGAAAACAATAGATAAAATAAGCTGTATTTCTGCAATACAACACCAGTGCATGAAAGAGTTTGCATCTGTGTAGCTCTGCGTTTCCTGATAACAGAGATGCATCGAAATTAACTTTTTATAAAACAGATCAATGTTCATCAAAAAAAAGTACTTCTTTCTGCAGTCATACACCATGTTGGAAGAGAAAAGCACATATTTCTTAAGACGTGCCTTTAGCTTGTCGTACTCTAAATATATGAGCATTTGCCCTCACCATCAGCCCCTGATGTCTTCAAATGCTAGAAACACCTCGGGTCAATCACAGCAATCTCAGGAGTTACTCACGCAACAATTAAACATATTCTCTCCCGTAATTAATGCAGCTTCACAGTATACATGGACACTGGTCCTCTACATAAACACAACTGTTCTTTAAATTGTGAATGGATTGTACAGAGAAAGTGATCAAAGAGTGCTCCCTTTATAGCACAAGTTTACTCACCCAAAACCAGACCCTAAATGTACAAACCCAATTCCAAAAATGTTGGGACACTGTACAAATTGTGAGTAAAAAAGGAATGGAATAATTTACAAATCTCATAAACTTATATTTTATTCAAAAGCATTGGTTTGTAGAATAGAATGACATACTGTACAGAAAATCTTAATTTTCCTCTTATACCCTGAACAAAGCAATGTTAAACATGAGAGAAATACAACTCTTAAGAAAAGAAAAAGACCATAAATCTAAAAATAATATAAAAAAAATTAAAAACATTGATTAATGCACCAGAGACTGTAGTCAGTATCATACTGTAATGATGAAGAACAGTGTCTCATGTTTAATTCTCAAACATCTTTTTAAAGAGATCGCGGATGCCACAGATCTTGATTTGCAATATTCCTTCAATAGAGTCACAAACAGAGCAAAACAATAGCTGAACTCACAAGACATGACTGCTCTCATCTGCACATATCTGATTATAAACACCTTGACAGTCACAGTGAGGTAATAAGAATGATTTACGATAAATATTTTTTATCCTAAACATCTATTGATTGATTTGGTGCAGTTTATAAAGAGAGTTTAAAATCCATCAAACATTTCTTGCTTCTAGATTTTAAGTTAAATGACAGACAAAAACGTAACATGTATAATATCATCAAATGCAATATTAAAATACGTCATTAAAAAAGTAAGAATTTTGCTGTATCAAAAGAGGTTGTGATATTTATAAAGCAGTGATTTCCTTTTTCAAATAAAAAGATAGTTCCTTAAAATCCCAGAGTAAGCAGAAGGCAACAGCGGCAATAAAAAAACTTCAGATGTTTTTTTGCGTGTCCTCTTCCTTGCATTGGCACATATTTCAACAGATTTGTGCAGAATATGCATAGAAATACATACAAATTACAGTACAATCAGAGGATCCATTGCTCTGTTATGCTGTGGGATCATATTCATATTCTGCTGGCCTTAGAGTGAACGATCAGTGAAAATAAACATGAAGTTGATCAGCTTTATCTTTGATGATCTCCAGTAATTCTAACTGAATTCTACTAGATTTCATCACGCAGTGAAATCGTGGACTCTCAAGGCTTATTTTTCACAAAATAATGTCAGCTCACACATCATTAAAACAACAATTACTATAATTTTTTTAACGATACATATCACCCCCCAGCTGCCGTTATATGTTGACAGAATTGTGTTGGTGTTGAAGGCAAATAACAAGTAACCAGTGGCGTCGCAGGTGTTCAGGGCTCCTGTGCAGTTGAGTCACGTTCAGTGAAGATCATTATAGTTCCTCCAGTTCCTGTCTGTGCTCTGTATTCTCCTCTGCTGGAACCTGTGTGTGACCTCTGTGCTGACGGCGCCATATGATGACAGAAATCACAATCACAGCCAGAATCACCAAACACACAACTGGCACAATCCATTTAGCTGCAGGTGGAAACGAGGAAGATGGGAAGAGAGCACAATTGAAAAAAATATTTTTTTTCATTATTACTCACTGCTTGAAGATTTTGTAAAGCTCTCAATGCCTCTGTTTTACTTACTCTGTTGTTCAGTGTCATCAGTTTTGTCTTCATCTGTGAAGCTCAGTTTTTCCTTTGATTCTGTACCTGATTCTAGAAGATATTGAGAGGTCAGTCTCACAGTTCAGCATCAATGTGATGTTCAGATCATGATGAATAAACCTCAGCTGTCCACATGCTTTAT